ATATATATATGTATGTATGTATATATATACATACATACATACATACATACATATATGTATATATATACTGTAAAGGAAGAAAATATTCTAATCATAGTTAACTTTGGAAAAAGATTGGCTTCTGATTCTTCCCTTCCCCAGGTCCACTCGGCGAGCTGCGTTTGGTAATAAAACCAACATTGCGTGTTGACGTCACAGAATTACAGAGTTTAATCCAATATAAGACAATGCATAAACTTAGAAATAAGACAATGCACAAACCTACACCAGAAACTGCAGAACAACTGAGACATACATTCCATTACCTGACATAGGAGGAAAGAAAGCAAAGACGTACAAGACATCTTTGGAGAGTTTGCAAGAGCAAAATCTGATCTTTTTCTTCTAATTAGAAAGCTTTATCCTCTTGTATCTAATCCATTCAAAAAGGGGCTGGCCCTCGGTCCTCCAATCAAACGCCATCTCTGACACTGCTAGGGCTTCCCCTTATTTACTGCAAACATCTGGGGTCATTTGCTTCTTTGTTTTAACAAGAAAAGGCGGAAAGCTTGTCCTGGCATCTAGCATTCCTAAAGTCATAAAACACAAGATAAGCTCTCACAGACAGCTTGTGGAATGCGGGGGGCCTCACTTTTGACCTTCTGTAAACCAAGCAGAAATCTCTCCTGCAGGCTTAACTGTTATTCACCCCCCAGGAGATACTCATTCTATGGGCTGGTGGTCTAAATACTTATCCATTAGTAGTTTTAAATCATTAACACAGCCTTGTTCAAAATTAAGAAATATGTTCAAGTGAGAGTGTTTACACATGCCATAAGATTAACTGTATTAAAGTCTAAAAAATAATCATTTTTCTTTAACAATACATACATACATACATACATGTATATATATATATATATATATATATATATATATATATATATATATATATATATATATATATATATATATATATATATATATATATATATATACATGCTTACTGTTAGGTTTCTGTTTCCGTTATGTTTTTCTTTTGATATTCAGTTTTGCTTTGCTCTAATTATTTTGTTGTGTTCCTTGGGTTTTTCTCAGTTACTGTCTGTCTTGGTTCTGTTATATTTTCTTTTTAGTCTTCAGTTTTCCTTTACTCCTTGTTTTCTAGTGTTAGTGGTTTTATTTTTATTTTGCTGTGATCTCTGGTTTATTCTTAGTTGCTGTTTCAGTCTTGGCTCTGTTTTGTTTTTCTTTTGAGTTTTCAGTTTTACTTTGCTCCATGTTTTATTTTCTTAGTGGTCTAATTCTTATTTTGTTGTGTTTTCTGGTTTCAGCTATTTTCAGCTTTCTTGGTTGTTTTTATTTGTTCCCCTCTGCTGCCCTCTTGTGTTCTCCTTTTTCCTATGGTCTTTTCCTCTCCGGCCCTGTGCTCACCTGTTCCCAATCTGCTCATTAGTCTTCTCTTTGTCTCAGTCTCCTTTAAATGCTCTCCCTCTTCAGTTCTTGTTTGCTGGATCCTCGTCTAACTTCCTCCAACTCCGTCTCTCCGAGGCTTCCTCTTCTAGATTGTACCTCCCCTGATGTCTCCATGGCTTATGATTTTTTTTTACTTTGTTTTCATGTTTTATATATATATATATATATATATATATATATATATATATATATATATATATATACATTTATCACTCCTGCTTACTTTTTATCTTTTAAAAATCTAAATGTCTTAAGAGCTGTACTAAACGAACTTTCTTTTTGTATACACTCTGTGTACAAAATGACAACAAAGTCTGTCTAGGTCTAAATCTTTACATTTAATTTCCCTTTGGGATGAATTAAGTATTTTTGAATTAAACTGAGTTTAACTGTTGACTCTACTGCAATCCCTCAAATGACTAAAACAAATGAACTTTTATATATCTTACCTTCAGATGAATAATGAATGTAATAAATAATTATCTTAGTTTGAAATAGTTCCAGCTATTCAGACTTAGATTAAGGTCAGTAAACATTTCCGCTTGATTTTCCTCACCTTCTTATTTTAAGGGGCATATTTATGGAGTGCTTGATTCTTGGTTCCAGGTTGGTTTAACTCTTCAGCTTAATCCCCGGATCTCTGCAGCCCCCTCTGGAGTTATGCTTTTTCTGTTTTTTAAGCCCACCAGCAGGCTGGCATGATCCAGTGAACTTTATGTTTTTTGTTCTTAGTTTTGTCCCCCTGATGCTGGATTTTCCTGCCTGCTCCCATTGTAACGGAGCTGCACTCGGTAAATTGTCAATTTTTGGTTCAGGTATTTCAAATCCATAGAGTACATGATCTTATTTTCCTCCTGTCTGGGTTCAGCAAATCATGATTCAGACTTTTAGGTATTAAATAAAGAAAAATGAACTTGAGGTTTGCTGGCTTCCTTGAATTCAACATGTAGCATTTGGGTTGTCATATTTTCTGCCTTTTATAGGTGTTTAAATGGTAAAGGTTGGTTAGAAGTTGGACTGTTTTAATGCATACATTCACGTGTCTATATGCTGTTTTAAAACTTGTAATAGTGAAAAGCAGTTAGAGTGGTTTGATTTGGAGAGAATGGGGCATGCATGCAGAGCTGTGATCGTTATTTAATATAGACCAGATCTAGTTGACCTGGTCTACAAAGAGCTGGAACTATGGAGAAAGGGAGATGGTATCAAGAGGGGAGCAATTATTTTATCTGGCAGACGCAGGAGAAACCAACATCCATTCACATCCAGTGACCGAAGAACCATACACCCTGAGGATCTCTGACGGTTAAACAGCATTTCTGGGACTTCACGGAGGTAAAGGCCATGTTTGTGGTTTTCATGAGGTTGCAATTAAGGGGCTTATAATTTACGGTGGCATGATGTAGAAACAATAGTGATTGATATTACTCTCCATCACCATGGTTGTTTTCTTTCTTTGTCTTGCATGAAAATGTCTCCTGAGTCCTATTAACACATTTCAAGTTTATGCTTAGGTCAGCAGTTATGAAACCTTCTGCTTTACCAGCAGTTTATACATTTCAAATGAACCTTATAAACTGATATCAGTCCAAAAAGATGCTTAAAGGAAAAGTCAGCTCATTTCAAACTTCTGAAAGTACTTTAAATATTAAACTATTCCATCCTGTTCAATAACTGATCAGTGTTTTTAATTCAGAGTAATTTTCATGTGAATGTGCTTTACTGGAGGCATCCATGTTTGTCAAAGAACACTACTGCCACCTACTGGTTTGTGACGTCACGGTGCGGTATCGGCTGTTGATCAAGTCCCGGTGCTGTATCTGGTGTTTGTCACAACGCGCTATTATCCAAGTCATCTTGAAAACATTCTTCTTCCAAATGTTGGCTACATATTACGGGTTTTTTCTCTGGCCAGAAGTTCGATGGCAAATCCTCCCTCTTCAAGTTGGCGATCCAACGACCAACCCGTCCGTGGAGGATCAGGAATCAGAAAGGTGGAATAACTCTTTTTTTCACTTTTACCCGATGTATTCCAGCATCCAGCTGCCATGCACGTGGGCATTGTCAGTTTCACTATAGCTCTGGTGAATTTCAATGGTGAAGTCCTCTGGAAATCTTCAATAATTGTTGTTGATTGCAGATGTGTCTAGTAGTTCCCATTGATTTAGCTTGTAAAGCGGGGAGAATGGCGCTAGGCTTACCGCACCGTGATGTCACTGCTGGAAGATGGCAGGAGGGAGGGGTTACTAGATTTGGGCAAAAATGGCCGCTCTCGGACTCAGTGATCTCAAAGAAAATTATTATGTTTATGTTTTTTACTGATTAACGCTAAATTCATTAAATCACCGCAAACGTATTCATTTTAGGTATAAATAATGATCCATTAATCATCCATTTTACTGTTTTAATATATATTTTTTACTATTTTTCAAGGCTGAAATTGTCTAGAGAGCTGTTCTTTGTTTCTTTGTTTTACACTTGTGTAAACAAAATGACAAATAAATCTTGTTTACCAGACTTTTCCTTTACATTTCAACCTAAACCAACTATAAACCTGTTATTTAACCATGCAGTCCTTGCAAAATTGACTTTAAATTAATCTTTTTATTTCCATACCTTTTTTCCAGTGAGGGATAGCACTTAGCCATGGTTCATTTACCTTGGTTTCTCGCTATTTTACGAAAAAGGTCACAATTTACTCAAGCAGCATCACTTACCTACTGACTGCCTACAGGTGAGTCTGATTGTTGGTGGAGACATAGAGATAGGCGTGGAGATAGCAAGGCAGGCTAATATTAGCATCGTTCCATGATTGACGTTAACACAGGAAGAGATCCACAACAGGGCTTTGACCTTTGGGAGTTTTTGTTTTGTTCAATAAGCCCGAATGAAAAAAACAAGCCACTTTTAAATTTAACAGATTTAATTTGAAGCCCAAAAACAATCACACAGGTTTAAAATGACCAACAGCTGATTCCAAAAAAGTAAAAAAAACACTCCACTGGACTTTGTTTCTAAGTTTGAAGACGCTTTGCTTCCCATCCAGGAAGATTTTTCAATTAAAAATGTCAGAAATAGCGTTGAGTTGCTTTATGCGGTAGCCCAAAAAAGCCTTGTTTTTGTTTAGAAAACATGCAAATTGAAATGGCTCCACCCCTTTGGAATGGGGGTCGTTTGGCTTCTTTTGTTAGCCTACAATGCCCCATACCTGTATATGTCTCTGAAAGGGTGTCGTTAAAGGGAATTGTTGGCCTGGATAATTAGGGGAGGTCTTCTGTTCCCCTGTATGAGGGTTGGGGCTGCGATGATAGGGAAGGAATCAACTCAATTGCTGAAATGTAGGTTTTTGAAAGCTGAAATCAGAGTCTACCCCCTCTGTTTAAGCTTGGTTTGTCTTTCTGTTTTGTCTACTGTACTGTTGGGCTACTGTATGAAGCATTTCTGACATTTTGAATTGAAAACGCTTCCTGGATGGGAAGAGAAACGTCTTCAAACTTGGAAACAAAGTCCAGTGGATTTTTTTTTTTTTTTGAATGACTGACCTGGAAGACTGAGAATCTTCACCAGCATGTGACTAACAGCTAATGACCCATTTAACAGCTCTTAATCAGTTTTTAGTCCCATCTTTCGGATTGAAACCTTAACAGTTCAAAACAATAACCTCTAAATTAGCATAAGACTGTTTAACAGTTTCCTTCATTTTATCTGCAGGAAAAGGAAAAATTACATAATGAGGATTTTAAAATTGATTCATGCTTTTCTAACAGATTAAGCAGGATCGTGCAGAGAGGACACATTAACATGACAAGAATTGTTCTCCCATCTGCAGACATTTCATTGAGCAAATTACACATTCAGGGAAAATTAAAGACTATGACCCTTTGTTACCATAGCAATGTTTCAGTCTACATTCATTCACAAGTATTTAGACCTCTTGAATTTTTCACTTCACATTTAAACCACAAATTTTCGTGTATTTTATATGACAGACACAAAGTAATTGAGGAAAAAGGGACACATGGTTTTGTTATTTGTTTGTGTCCATTCCTAACGGGCCACTGAGTCAGAACTTTGCATAGCCTCATTTCTCTGCAGATCCAGCTGCAGGTCTGCTTTTGGTAAAACAGCTATGGCTCAGTCTGATGGAGTGGAGAACATCTGTGAGGATAGGTTTTTAAAGCCTTAACACAGATTCTTAATCAGATTTAGTTCTTTACTTTGACTAGGACATTCTGACACATAGATCAGCTCAGATTTAAACCAGCTGTAGTTCTAGCTGTGTCTTTTGAGTCCTTTAAGTTCCAGTTTTTTTACAACACCGTCTCCACACACGATGACCCCCTCCTTATATAGTAGCGCCTTCTGTCCTCACCAGACTCTGACCAGTGCACAATGAGAGCAGGGAAGAAGTGGGCGTCTCTATAAGTTGGAGGACTGTCGCTGAGTGCCAGCTGGCTGGAGTCGGACCTGCAGCAGTGCTCGTCCAGGCAGCAGGCGTCCGACAGGCTGCTGCTCCGGCTCCTCCATGGGGTGACGGTCCGACGGGAGCCATACATGCGGCACAGAGAGACATGAGACGTGTCGGAAGAAAGGTGGGACAGCAGCAGAGCTCCGTGGCAGGAGAAGCCTGAGGAGCAGCTAGAGCTGGTGATGGTCCTCCTCCGGCCTCCTGCTGCAGCCTGTCCATTCAGCTCACTGCAACAGGTGAGGTCGTCCTGGTTCCTGAGCGCCCTGGAGCTCTGGGCATTGCTGTGCAAGAGAAGGCAGGTGGAGGAGGATGTGTTTGGTGCAGAGTTAGAGGTCTCTGTGTTGGTGCTAATGAGCATTGCCTCTGAGTAGCTGGGAATCAACTGGCGGTTGCAGCGTATGTGCCACTCCATCTCAGTGCTGTCCAGGGTGTCCACTCTAGGGATGACACAGCCGGTGTTACTCCCAGCAGGCCCGGCGTCATCCAGAGGGGAGGGGCTGCTGCAGATGTACTCCAACCCAAACAGTTTCTCTACTCTGTAATGCACGTACGCAGTGCGGTACTCGATGAAGACTCTCAGAGGCCAGGAGAGCATGAGCAGAGCAGCCAGCCAGAAGGCCGCCTGAGATGTGTACCATGGCATGCTATCCGGATCCACGCAGACTACCACGTTCTCCCTGAAGTCCACGTTCCTCAGCTGCATGCCCTCCCGGGCCTCCATGTAATCATCCAGACCTTCGATTTCAGAGAAGAACCTGGATCTCTGGTTGAGGTAGTTGTTTTCTGGGCCCGCCTCCGTGAAACTGAAACACTTGGTGAAGCGCAGGCGAGTCGTCGGATGTCCCTCCAGGCCTGTGAGTTCACGCGAGATGTCTTTCATTCCACAGAGGCTGTAGTCAAACTCTCCCTCAGCCACGTGGGTGTTGACCCGCTCGTGGTAGACCTGCGTGGTGGTGTAGGCGTCTCCGTTGCGGTATCTGATGACCTGTCGAGTCCTCCGGACAAAGTGGTAGCTAATAGCCTTCCACCATATGCAAGGCTGGGCCTGCCGCATCCGTAACACTCGCTCATACACGCTGTCCACGTCTGCTTTGGACTGTAGCTCGTTCAGGGCCATGCAGTGCCAGCACTCCACCATGTACAACCCGTAGAGCAGGAGCAGGAAAGCCAGTGGGATGTAGATGTACCCGTCGGAGCACGGGCTGTCGTGGTAGATCATAGAGTGCCCTCCGATCCCAATCCCAGAAGGGCCACGCAGCGAGGAGGGGAAGGACGAGGTGAGGGCCGAGTTGAAGCTGATCTTAGTGACCCGGGTCACCCGACACCAAGCCACCGCACCCAGACAGCTATACATGAGGAAGGAGAGCAGCAGGCAGCGCCAGTGGGACTCTCTGCAGACGCAGGCACCAAGGGACTGCTGGACCGGACGCTGCTGCATAAATAAGCAAAGACAAAAAGGAGAAATGAGAAAAAAGCACTCAAGGCAATGAAGCCTGTAAACATGCCAGGGAATCAACGGCATGCAGCAGAAATGCAAATGACTCCAGCTAAACCATAAATTGCAGCACAGCTCCAAACCCAGCACAACATAAATCAGACTGAAGGAATTGAGTTAAAGCTCCTGTCGTTCCTCTGAGACTCTGCATAATAACAGCCGACAGAAGACCATCGTTCAGGTGGTTCCACACAGCAAACTCAGCTGTGATGTGCAAGTGTGTTACAAGAGGATAGCAAGAACCCAGCGAGGTACGGAGGAATTCTGCTTGAAGAGGTAGATAGAGCTTACATTTTTACAAATAAAAGATGTAAGAAACAGACAGTCCAAAATTCTGCATATTTGCACCATACATATTTAATGCTCTGAACATCCATATTAATGATTTTTTTTTTTGCACCAAGTTTTTTTCTCCCACTCTGTTTACATCTGACCCCTGTTGCACTTTAAGAAATGGAAATGTCATGAGAGCCGTATGTATGTAAGCAATCTGTGTAAAGAAAATGACAAGTTGTCTAAGCATCAGGGTGCATACACAGAGCCTATCAGTGTAAGGATATTTTGACCATCTCAAATAATAAAATGTTTTGTTAGGTTTATTCTTTATACATCATGTGCATTGTTATTCTGTTAGCCAGATTATAAGGCCTTCCTTCACATTGTGGATGTCACTGTGTGTACGGAGGTCATCTAATCAGGACAGCCTTCATGTCTTTTAAAGATACACAGGATATGGACACATCTTGGAGCTGGTCTGATAATGGGGAGCTACCTGTAATTCTTGGGCATAGAGGCAAGATGCATGAAGTTCAAGACATGGATGGTGTGTCAGTTTCTGATACGGACAGCTAAGCATCAACATGATGCAACACATAGACTCATGAGCTATAAGAAGGAGAAGATGACCTTGTTTGGGGCTCAATCTTTGCCGGACGCTCGCTGACGTGATTTTTGAGCCCACAGCTGTGCAAGCTCCAAGCATTTTCTCTGTCCTGTAACGACCTGATCTGGAATAAACGCTGTTACTTTTTTACTACTGTTTTATAGTCCTTTTTTACATGGTTTTAACCAGTTTGAGTTAAGAGTAGTAAATTTGCCCCCAGGAAAAGAACCGGTGGGGAAGTCCCGAGGCGCAACTGCTTTTTTAGGGGACATAACTTCCTCATTTAACAGTTTTGTTTTTGAGAAATAAAAATCAGAAAGTTTGATGCGTATTGTTGGCCTTGTCTTCAAATTCAAAATAAGAAAAGCAAACATACTTACGGAAAAACCCAATTCACATGCAACTTGTAGGTGTGTTTATGAGTTACCTATGTCAAAAGATTACAGGTTGCTAATTAACGGACATAGCAACATTGTTGTCTTCAGTTGCTAATGCTAACCTTTTGTTAAACTATAACTGTAGCGAGTTAGATTTAAAGTTAAATAGTTGCTAATGCTAAACTTTGGTTAGCAATCTGCTAGAGTCCAACTGAATACTCAGCATAAATTCAGTTTAGCGCTCATTATCAACGCATTTAGGAGGAATATAGCGTTTCAATGAGTTTAATTGGTGTTATTCCAATGAAAAGGTTTTAATCTATTAGTTTTTTTGTTTGTTTAATGTAAATATATCAATCAGGACAAATGCTTCATGTATAAAACCTCATTTTATCACAATCTAATGATTTCTTTATAGCGCCAAATTCACAACACATGTCATCTCAAGGCACTTTACAGTTCAACCAGATCATCCAGTCAGATTGATACAAAGTTTTCTATCTAAGGAAAACCGGTTGATTGCATCGACTCATTGACTCAAATACAATCCCTCACACTAAGCATGCTTGTAGCGACGGTGGAGAGGAAAAACTCCCTTTTAACAGGAAGAAACCTCCAGCAGAACCAGGCTCAGTGTGAGCGGCCATCTGCTGAGGCCCACTGGGGTTCAAGATACAAGCCTTTAGTGGCTCAGACCTTAATGAAGACTCTTTCTGACGGACTTGAAGCTGGAAATGCAGGTCAGAGTTGCTCAATAAGGTACTGAATCAGGTGCTAAAGAAAGGCATGCCACATTGTTTATAATTTTATAAAAAAAAAATTTGTATTTCTTTTTCCTTGCACTTCATCCCCCATCCTTAAATCATGCATTTAATCTGTGGTTGTAACACAGTAAAGCACGAGCAGGTTAAAGTGGTTGAAGGAAACTGTGCTAGAGGCTGTTTATGGGTTTGCACTGGATGCCCTCTTCTCTGTATTAAAGCTCCATCAACATCTTTCTGCTTTAGCTGCAGAGAGTAACTTTCAGTTAGACCAGAAGGACAAAGTGCCACATTTGTAATAATGTTGAGCACTGCAATGGTCCCATTCAGCAAAGACTTTGGCAGCAGCCTATTTAATCAGTAAGAGGCTGGAGCCAAACTAAAGATAGCGACGTTTATCTCCATCATTTAGAGCTGTCCACCACTGTACTATCTATCTAATAGGCTCTGCATGCCTCCTGTGGAGACGTTCGTCTGCATGAAGTGTATTGTTGTTGACTGCCTGTGGTGCGTTTTGGAGTGAGAGGATTTATGGTGACAACCAGCCATCCATTACTGTGCTCTTGGACTGTAGGGGATGTCACACTCTGCAGCTCCCATGTCAGTCATTTAAGGAACTAGCAAGGATTGAATTCAGTCCAGGACCTGCAAATAAACTGGTTTTACCTCAAAACAGAGGCACATGTTTTAGATCTTTCTGGGAAAAAAAATGTTTGTATTATAACCTCCAGAAAAAAACCCATTTATTTTAAAAAGAATGTAAAACATTTAAAGCAAGCCTCCAAAAATAAAATATAAGTAAATGAGAGTGAATGAGAATACAGATAAACTTATTTTAATGGTTTAGCATAGAAAAGTTAAAATATTTTAAGCTATTAAAAGCTGAAGTCTAAATGCACTTAGAAATTCTTCTTAATAGGTCCCATTGTTATTTGAATTTTTATGTTTATTATTATTTTTCTCATAAAGGAGGTGCTTATATGAGGGCTTCATCATATTCAACAATTCAACAAATTTTGCAAATGCATCATGAGTCACGTTAATTTATGCATTTTAATGGCGTTGCAATAGTTGCCTTAGAAATGTCTCTACTTTTACTTTTTAAACACCCTCCCCATTGCATATTTTTGTCATAGAGACATGAAATTAGGTAAACTTGTAAGGTATCCTCAGACCTATGAAAAAGCCTATTAACATCATAGGTAACGACATTCAGGAAGTTGAACATTCTGGCTTCAATTTCCAAATTTTGCAATTTATAGCCTCTACATTTTATTATAGTTTAAACTATTTTCTAGATTGATGAATTATTGTGGTAGCATCTGGGGGGATTTACCATTAGGCAAAACTAGGCAGTTAGAAAGTCCTCCTTGCCATCACCCTAATTTTTAGCTCCCTCCATAGATTCCGGTTCACATTCAAGGCAGATATCTGGACCAAACCAGGAAACAGTTAAAATATTGCTTTAAATCATAATCTACTGAAAAAAAGGTAGAGTTTATCCGGCTCAACTTTATTTACCAAAAACAACTTAAATGTAAATTTATCTAGGATTTTAAAATGGAACCTAATAAACAAAAAACAAAAACTACAATGGAGTATTAGGGGCAGGCTAAAGATTTTTTTTCTTCTATTTTGAGAATGATGCTGTAACATTAAAAAAATGAAGTCGTGAAATTACGAGACTAAAGTCGTAAAATTACAAGAATAACGTTGTAATATTATGAGAAAAAAGTCACAACAAAAATAGTCATAAAACTATGAGGATAAAGTCCTAAAATTACGAGAAACAAGTTGTATTTTATGACAACTCTTACAAGAAGCCCTTTCTTCCCTAAAATGAGGAATGTGGAGCATCATGGGAAGTTATACTTTAGCATCGGTTTGACTAGATAACCCACCAGATGACGGCTGGTTGGCCTTCATCTGGTGGGCGGAGCTCCAAGCTTTCTTTCTGAAACGGGTTGTGGTATGACTTAATTCTTGTATATATTTATTATATATAATGAATATGTATATTACGACTTTATTCTCGAAATGTTACGACTTTATTCTCGTAATATTACAACTTTATTCTCGTAATGTTACAACTTTATCCTTGTAATGTTATGACTTTATTCTCGTAATGTTACGACTTTATTCTCATAATGTTACGACTTTATTCTCGTAATGTTACGACTTTATTCTCGTTATATTACAACTTTATTCTCATAATGTTACGACTTTATTCTCGTAATGTTACAACTTTATTCTCGTAATGTTAAAACTTAATTCTCATAATGTCACGACTTTATTCTCATAATGTTAAAACTTTATTCTCATAATGTCACGACTTTATTCTCGTTATATTACAACTTTATTCTCGTAATGTTACGACTTTATTCTCGTAATGTTACAACTTTATTCTCGTAATGTTAAAACTTTATTCTCATAATGTCACGACTTTATTCTCGTAATGTTACAACTTTATTCTCGTAATGTTACGACTTTATTCTCGTTATATTACAACTTTATTCTCGTAATGTTACGAGTTTATTCTCGTAATATTACAATTTTATTCTCATAATGTTACGACTTTATTCTCGTAATATTACAACTTTATTCTCATAATGTTACAACTTTATTCTTGTAATATTACGACTTTATTCTCGTAATGTTACGACTTTATTCTCGTAATATTACAACTTTATTCTCATAATGTTACGACTTTATTCTCGTAATATTACAACTTTATTCTCATAATATTACGACTTTATTCTCATAATGTTACTACTTTATTCTCGTAATGTTACTACTTTATTCTTGTAATATTACAACTTTATTCTCATAATTTTACAACTTTATTCTCATAATGTTACTTTATTCTCGTAATATTACAACTTTATTCTCATAATATTACGACTTTGTTCTCATAATGTTACGACTTTATTCTCGTAATGTTACGACTTTATTCTCGTTATATTACAACTTTATTCTCGTAATGTTACGAGTTTATTCTCGTAATATTACAATTTTATTCTCATAATGATACTTTATTCTCGTAATATTACAACTTTATTCTCATAATGATACGACTTTATTCTCGTAATATTACAACTTTATTCTCATAATGTTACGACTTTATTCTCGTAATATTACAACTTTATTCTCGTAATGTTACGATTTTATTCTCGTAATATTACGACTTTATTCTCGTAATGTTACGACTTTATTCTCGTAATATTACAACTTTATTCTCATAATATTACGACTTTATTCTCGTAATGTTACTACTTTATTCTTGTAATATTACAACTTTATTCTCATAATTTTACAACTTTATTCTCATAATGTTACGACTTTATTCTCGTAATGTTACGATTTTATTCTCATAATATTACGACTTTATTCTCGTAATGTTACGACTTTATTCTCATAATGTTACGACTTTATTCTCGTAATATTACAACTTTATTCTCATAATATTACGACTTTGTTCTCATAATGTTACGACTTTATTCTCGTAATATTACAACTTTATTCTCATAATATTACGACTTTGTTCTCATAATGTTACGACTTTATTCTCGTAATGTTACGATTTTATTCTCGTAATATTACGACTTTATTCTCGTAATGTTACTTTATTCTCGTAATATTACGAGTTTATTCTCGTAATAAAGGGAAAGAATCTCTAGCCTGGCCCTAACACTAAGTCGTAAAAAATCAAATGTAAAAGAAGAAGAATTTTAAGATTTAGAGCTGAGGAAATATTCTGGCAATTCTATGCTTGGCTTTCTATTTATTGATTTATTTTGAATCTCTATTTATTCAGTCCTGGAAGATCCTTACGTTGGACTTTTATGGAGAGTATTAAAAGTACTTTGTCTAAAAAACTTTTCCCATTAAACCGTTAGATGATGGGTTGACCCAGCAGAGGTCTTTAGCTGACCCCTCCCTTCACCTACCGCCTCTGGAGCACCGCTCTCTGCAGGTGAGTCCTCCTCCAGTTCCTCCTCCTCTTCAGCGGCATCGGGGCCCCTGGGCGCCGCTTCCTCTGTGCGGTCCTGGTCAGAGGAGAGCATCCTGCTTCTCTTTGCATGTCAGAGGAAAGTCAGAAGCTCATGCAGTCCGATCTGCTTGCTTCCCTGCAGGGATCCTCCTGTCTGCATGCCCTGTCCCAGCCTCCCTCAGTCCCCCATCAGGCTCTGATCCCGCAGACTGCTGCTGCTGCTGCTGTGCAGAGGGGGGGTCCCTCTGTGCTCCTGGCTGGCGGGGCGGAGGGGGGCGGGGTTCCGCCGGTAGTTCACCGCAGCAGAGGCAGCACAGGTTCACCATGATGAAGCAGGATGCGGTCCAATGAGGAGGCGCATCAATCAGCAGGACAGGCTCTCAGAACAGAACGGGCTGGTGCCAGAAACCATTCATGCTGCTCAGAAGAACTGACTTCCGGTTAAATTAACAGAAATATGGTTGCTACTTCAAAATAAAAGCTCACACACACTGAAAAAAAAATACTTTTTGGTCCTGTTAATATTACCTCGGTCTTATTTATTATAATAATAATAATTATTATTATTATTATTTTTACAAATGGCCTTTACGTCATAATTTAATATTAATAATAAGACACAATTAATATTATAAGCATTCTGATGGCATTTTATTGAAAGGATTTTTATCAATAACATAATATTAATAGAATAAAAATAGAATACAAAATCCCTTTAATCCTGGAAGGAAGGATCTGTGATAACGCTCCCAATTAAAATAAGTTCCGAACTAAACAGATGCAATTAATATGTACTTGGATATTAGGATAAACTTGGTGCTTTTTTCCTTACCTGACCATGTTTAGGTCAGAAACAGAAAATTGTTCACTTGCTGGTGGCATGATGGATTAGTTTTTAGCACTGCTGCCTTGTAGCAAGAAGGTTCCGGGTTCCATTCCTGGTCCAGGGTCTTTCAGCATGGAGTTTGCATGTTCTCCCCATGCATACAGGGGTTTTCTCCAGGTATTCTGGCTTTCCACCATAGTCCAAAAACATGACTGTGAGGTTAATTGGCTTCTCTAGATTCACGTTGTATGTCTATGTGCCTCTCTGTGTAATATAACTGAACTCCTTTGTTCCCAAAAGCCATCACGCTGTACAACTCCTCACTTGGGGGAAGGAGGAGGTGACAGGAAGAGGGACAAGGTTCAGCACCCCCCCTCCTTGGACATATTATGCAAAACATTACATATTGTCACTCATGTGCAATATTCTACTCTCTCACAGTACATCAACACATGACAACAACTGTGTAGTCTGTTTACTTTTTTCCTTATTTATAAGGTCAGTACATCTCTGCAGTGCAAGTGCAATAATCCAAGTCAACTACTGTGTAGTCTTCCCTTAGCTCTCTACTGTGCAGATATTTGTATATCTAAGGGAAACATATTCAAGGACATTACAACTTTTTTTATGCTTTTTTGTACTATAAACACTCTTTATATTGTCTGTCATATTTTTTTTTAATCTTTAATGGCATCTTGCTTTAACTCTTCGTATTCTGTATAAGCTACTGGAACCAGAATTTCCCTGAAGGAGTAATCACAATAGATAAATAAAGTTGAATCTGAGTCTATTTACTAGCAAAACAAATGTATATCTTTAGTTGATAAAGGACATTTGGTGGTAAAATTTACTTGAGTTGGTTTGTTAAATCAACTCTTTAAGTAAGTAAAATTAACTGTGAAACTTTAAAGGAAATTATATGTAGAAAAAGTTACCTAGCTTCTTCTAGGTATATTGTACTCCAAATAAAATAGGTCAGTTGCATAGATATATGCAATATATGCCATTCAATATGTATATAATTCTTCTGTATCACAACTAAAATTATATAATCAATAACATTAAAAATACCTTTCCTTTCATAATCATTATATGTTTAAAATAACAATAATTGCTACGAACATAACGATAAAATAACAGTAAAGATGATAAGTGGTAGTAAAGAATTAAAATGTTGACTTTATTTTATATTAAATGTAACAATTTCCGTCTTTTATTGCAGATGACACAACAGCAGTTTGTTTCAGTTATTTTTCTCACATTTATGTTGGTGTAGCTGTGAGGATTACGGTATATACTAATTATTGTTAGGAAGGAAGCTTGATTCAAGCAATTCAGTTTATTTCTATAGAATCAATTCACAACACAAGTCATCTCAGGTCACTTTACGGTTCACCAGATCATCCAGGCAGATTGATTCAAAGTTTTCTATCTCAGGAAAACCAGTTGATTGCATAAAACTGGTTACAACTCACACTAAGCATGCTTGTATTAACAGTGGAGAGGAAAAACTCCCTTTTAACAGGAAGAAACCTCCGGCAGAACCAGGCTCAGTGTGAGCGGCCATCTGCTGAGGCCCACTGGGGTTCAAGGAGACAGAAGCAGACATAGAAAAAGAAGTATAGATACAAAAGGCAACAGTAAAAGGCGGCCCCGTCCAGGAAACACACAGCCAGGCAGACGAGCTCCGAGCCAGCTCCCATGTCAGAGTATGAAGAGAGCACATCCAGTTAGTCACAGTCAGAGAAACAGGACTACACTGGAAAACAGGCCACTATTTTTATAATTTAAAACAATGAAAAAATTTTAATATTTAATTTTTCAATGCATACCGCTAACGAGCCTTATCATAAAGAAGAAACGGGCTCAGTGAATCCTCTGCAAGTGGTCATAATGTTTTGCCAGCCTTTCCTGGGTGAGGTGTTCCCCCGCTGGCCGCTGGGGGCGCTGTGGTTTAAAAACCTCCCCGGAAACATGGCGGAGGTCAGGCACTGTGCGGGAAGGGGAGCGTGTGAATCTGGACTAAAAATGTTTAAAAGCTACCTCCTGGGGAACCGAATCCAGAACCGAACCAAGGCGGTACCTCCTGGCTCCCTATCCGCCGGGTTTCTGTTTGATGACATTAAAAACCGGCGGCGGAAGGCGGAGCGGTCAGCTGCTGCTGCTGGAGGCCACCGGGACGGTTATGCAAAGGTGAGCAGCCGCCGGTTGGAGCTGAAGCCGGTATGGAGAAGGAAGCTTAGCTGGTCTGAACAGCAACATTATACCGGAACTAAGAGGGAATTAGGTTCAAATAGGACTCTTTTATAAAGGTTGTTCCTCTGTATGGAAGCTGTGATCAGTTCTGCTGGACTTTATCGCAGGGGCGAAGCTAGATGGGGGGAAAGGGGTGGCCATAATTACCATTTTTTCCCCTAATACAGACGAAAGCGGCAGTAATCAGTCTGCGCCAGGTGACGTCAATGTTTACCTCGGGCGCGGTGCATCGTGGGAAAACCACCATATTAGGTGGAAAGTCGAGATAACCCACACGCAGCTGTTCTTTCGGCACAATTATTTACCAGAAATGACACGATCGTGTTGTGTGAGAGGCTGCCAGTCCCGGTGTCGTGCCAAGGTAGTTATCCCTGCGAAAATTTGTATCCCCTCGTCGGGAGCGCGCACGGAGTAGGAAGAACAACCCGACTTAACTCCGCTTCAATTCCAACGTGCAGAATTTGAGAGGTTTTACGTGTATGAAAGTTGAGCTTTACTGTTTTATTCTTTACTTCACATGTTATAGCAGAATATCGCCCGTGATATTGATCTAAAACTAATAATAAAACACAAACGTTTGCTTGAAAGCTGGTCGCTGACAGCAGTGTCTACTCCTCCCTCTGAAAGCAAACAGATCCTTGTTCTTTTCCTCACGTTCATTAAAAAATATCTCTCATTGTTTCACAGTGTCCAAATGTTCTCATCCCATTGAAAACTGTTGGAAACCATATACTTGTAATAAAAATGAAATAGAAAATGGAGTGTACGTGTAATCATTAAAGACTATATGCAGAAGGAAATAATTTTTTCCCGGTTGAAATTTAGTACTTAAATCTATATCTGTGTTTATAGTAACGTAAAATTTATCTATGTTGTACTGTCCTTAATAAACAGTTTGTCTTCTAACATCAGCCGTTTTATTTCATCCCATTTTGCCAGAACTGGCAGTATGGGATGAAATAAAACCTGCTGTAATCTGTTCCCCCTGTCTAAATCAGGCAAAAAAGGTCCCAGCTTTTTCATTTTTGGCTTATAAGTATCTTTTATGATGACAACTTACCCCTGACACTTTGGAGTTGATTGACCTTTATTTTTTAAAGTTACAAGGGGGGAACCAATTATAGCAGGCCACCTGCTGTAATCTGTTCCCCCTGTCTAAATCAGGCCAAAAAGGTCCCAGCTTTTTCATTTTTGGCTTATAAGCATCTTTTATGATGCAAAAAATGATTTAGACAGGGGGAACAGATTACGGCAGGTGGCCTGCTATAATTTGTTCCCCCCCTATAACTTTAAGAAATAAAGGTCAATCAACTCCAAAGTGTCAGGGGTAAGTTGTTATTAGTTTTAGATCAATATCACCGGCGATATTCTGCTATAACATGTGAAGTAAAGAATAAAACAGTAAAGCTCAACTTTCATACACGTAAAACCTCTCAAGTTCTGCACGTTGGAATTGAGGCGGAGTTAACTCGGGTTTATCTTCCTACTCCGTGCGCGCTCCCGACGAGGGGATACAAATTTTCGCAGGGATAACTACCTTGGCACGACACCGGTACGGTAATTTCGCATTCTGCTTACTTTTTTCCACATAGTCAGAGAAACAAACTCAATCCTTTAGTCCTTCGTTTAGCTATGCTGCGGTTGTTTACACTACGCCTTTTCCACCAAAAATGGCGTCTTAGCAACAAATGTCACGTGACTGGCGGAGACCGATACTCAAGGGCAGTGGCGGCTCTAGACCAAATGTACCAGGAGGGGGCCAGCATTGTTTTAATGGGGGCCCAGAAAAGCATGAAATAAAAAACAGGGCAAGGGATTCAAATATATTAAGAGAGCTGCATGAAGAGAATTTTTTTAATTCAATTAGGTTTAAATAAAATTCTATGTCTTATTAGGTCAATATATATTCATAATTTAGGAATTTTTGACTTAATTTAAGTAAAAAATTACGTTTTCTGTCAAATCTGAAAAACTGATAAATTCAGCTGCAAAAATGAGTTTTGTTTTTTGTTTTGAAAAAATCATTTAGCAGATGAAAACTGGGATTCTATTTCAAAACCACTGAAGCTATCGCCTTATTGTTTTTAAATAATTAGTAAAATAGAATTTGTAAGAAAAAAAAAAAAATACATAAAAAAAAGAAAAGAAATAGATCCAAAGGAACTACCTATCAGTAACCATGTCTGTTCCAGTGCACATCCAGTATTATGTCTTCGGTACAGGGACCAGGACATGAGCTACAGGGGCACAGGCCCCTGTTGGCCCCTGTCTAGAACCGCACTTGCCCAAGGGGAATATTTAAACTTAAATTTTTTAATACA